AAGACGAAATACTAAATATTTGCTGAATATATAATTTATAATAAATGTGTATCACAGTTCGAATTCTCTAATAATAAACATGTATCGCAATTCCTATCCTGTAACAATAATAAAAATTCTAATATACATAATAATTTATATAATAATAGAAATAAAATATTTATATAATAATAGAAATATAAAATAATTTTTTTCCTATTTTATTATTTTTTTTTATTTTTCTATGATATAGCATACATTTATTTTGGCGCGAAATCACGAGCCACTAACTTTACGATCACATTTTTCGAGCGGCGATATTGTAGAACATCGAGAAGTCGAGCGACTTTATCAGTGAATGCTCCGATAAGGCAACAGAGGTATAGCATGCGCGATCGCATGCTTTATGCTGTGACAAGTGCGCTTTATCGAAACGAGCGAGTCGACAATCGTCGAATCGAGTTCTGTGGCATACCGCGTCGATGAAGATATATGACAGGAAATACCAGCCGCCATAGCGGCATATCGCATATCATTGATGAGAATGTGTGAATACTCAGAAAAAAAATTCATCGTAAGTAGCGAAATTTTTTGGAAAGAAGAATACTTATGGATTGAATTATCGCGATGATGTAATTACATAATTAAAGGTACATAACGAAAGATACATTTGAATGTAAAACACAAAGTATTAGCTAAATGAATATATAAGAAGATAGGAATTTTATGAATGAATAAATTAATATTATATTTTTCTGCGTAAAGCGATAACTCTTTTAAAAATATCTTTAAAATATATAATTAAAGTATACATTTTATTTTATTTTTTAAAGAAATAAATTATAAATTGTATTTTCTATATATTACATCCTATATGTCTTTATGATTTTGCTATTAACTGTGGCGTTTTTCTTATTTTTTTTATTAACTCATAAAAATTTATAGCATTATATTCAATAATAACATTTTCAATGTGCTATCAAAAAAATAACTATCATAAATATATCAACAGATTACAATTTATCAAGAAGACAGTTTATCAAATATGTATATTAAAAAAAAATTGAAGAAAATGTTCTAATTAATAGAAAGACTTTAATCGCTTAAAGAACTATACGACATAAATATAGATATAATAATATGTAAACTAAGCCGTTTACTTTTATTAAAATAAAGGTAGCAATGCACGTGTAGAAAAGAACTCACTTTATTCATAGTGTATTGTCTCGTTATGCATAAGCAAGAGAGAGTGCAAGGAGCACGGAATTATAGACATCTATAAGATACTAAACTGCCAATCTTTATTTTACATGGCCCAATAAATAATATGTAATTTGTACAAATTGCACACATACACACACTATACGCATGCACATAAGTGTGAATAAATATTAAACAGATTATTCTATATGTAAAATTGTATTAAAATATGTTATATTATTTTGTTTTTAAATCAAGAATTAGAAGATATATACTACACAATTTTATATAATACTCATATTAGTATACAATATTCAGCTAATAATAATTCTTATTTTTGTTGTGAAGAAATAAAACATCATACGTGATTATATAAGATCATTTTTATATAGTATCGAAATTGGCTCGGTGAAAATAGTTTCGTTCTTTATTTTAAAAAAAGTAACATATATCTATTTTTTATTTTATATATTATTATATGATAAAAAATATAAGTGAAAAGTAAATTAGAAAGTAACTTAGAAAAAATAGTAAATCTTTGAATAAATGTGCTCTACAATGTTATACAATTATATAAATATGTGAAACACATACATATATGTATGTATAAATGATATATGTATAAATGAGATATTCTAGAAGTCCAATCTGTATGGAAAGTTAAATTTGCAATAAGTATTAATGAAATATTTACTTGTGTACATATGTGTGTGTGTGTGTGTGTGTGTGTGTGTGTGTGTGTGTGTGTGTGTGTGTGTGTATGTATATGTATATAGAGGGTATAATTGAAAAAGCGCCCACGGAACAAATAGCGTTATTCCTGATTAAAAATCGAGTCGAAAAGTCTTAAACCATTTTTTTTTATAATATTTAATAAAATGATAATTATTGACGCAACTTTACTCAATAATTACTGCTTTATTAAGCATTATAGAAAAAAATGGTTTAGGACTTTTCGACTTAGTTTTTAATCAGGAATAACGCTATTTACTCTGTAGGTGCTTTTTCAGTTACACCCTGTATATATATATATATATATATATATGTGTGTGTGTGTGTGTGTGTGTGTGTGTGTGTGTGTGTGTGTGTGTGTGTGTATTCTTATATTTTTACACATTTCAAGATTTTTACATGTGCAGACACATTAATTTTATTCAATTCATTAATTTTATTTCAGATATTCAATTGAAAATATGAGAAAGAAAAAAAATATATTTACAAAGAAAGATGTGTTTACTACATTTCTTTTGCTATAAATATCGCTACAACTTTTTTCACTTTGTTATTATTAATGTTTTTTTAAATGAATATTTTTATATAAAACCATTCCAATTCATATATTGTACGTATACATTTAATCACTTTTCTGTGTGTAAATATACAAATATATACTTATTTAGTGTTACCCATAAGATTCAAGGAACACTATAAAATTTAACTATTCTTTTATTCCATTCGATTATAATGCCTGCCACCTAAGCGTATACAAGTGCATAAGTTTCGAGTACACAAAATCTAGTAACTATATAAAGAGCCTAGCAGTCTAGTTATAATATAGATGTCTGTGCATGGAACAGAATGTAACTACGTTTGTACATATTTAATCGGATTTAATAACATCTATACTTTTCAAACTGGTCAATCACAGCCATTCCTCTGAAGACTGGGTTGATTGTGATTGGCAAATCTTAGAACTACAGATTTTATTAAATCCGATTAAGAGTGTAAATGTAATCTATGTCCTTTTTTATGTATATTTCAACTTCTACTTTTTAATACTCTATAGATATATTATGTCTATAGATATATTATGTCTCTATAGATATATTAGGTCTATAGATATATGTATTATGTCTGTGAATTTATAATATAATTAAAAAAGTATATACGTGATTTAAAAAATATTATTGCTTTATATAAAAAAATTACAATTTATTATATTTATAAATCTTTAATATCTCTCCCTCCCTCCCCCCCTCTCTCTCTAGTATAGCGAATGCTCGCAATGCCAATGTGTACTCCATATTCAATACATATATTTATATATACAGTGTTTGCTGTAGATAATTTCAAAATTATCTAGATAAAGATAAAGATAAAAATCCGTAAATTTATCTTAGATAAGATGATTTTGCTTTTACTTAATCTAGATAAAAGATGAGATGATTATTGCGATAATTTAGATAATTATCTAGATATTTTTGTTTATTTTATAAGACTATAAATATTTGTAAAAAATATGACGCAGATTATAATGGGATATTAAAATCATAAACACATTCTTTTTCTTTTCCTAAAGAATATTTAAATAATAACCAAAAGGTATATAAATAATATGATATTTATTAATTAATTTATATTTATAATATATTTATAATATATTAATAATATAATAATCAATGTGTAACAATACATATATCATTTTTATAAAATATACATTAATACATTGCACAAATTTAAGTAAAACAAGTACAAGTAAGTAAATTTAAATAAATGAACAGAATAAAAAAGACTTGACGGCGTTCTTTTCTCATTTTGAGTTATTAAGTTTTAAGCTCCTCAAAAATTTTAGATATTTTAGATAGATTTTTAGAAGCTTGCCTGGAAAACTCTTTTGCATAATGAAAACGTCATCTTAGACCATTTTTAGATAAGATGACATATATTTTTTATCTGATAAAGATAAAGATAAAGATACTTTGTATTTCTTCATCTAGTTAAAGATAAAGATGATCCATTTCTTTATTTAGATAATTATCTAGATAATTTGATCTAGATACCAGCAAACACTGTATATATATATATATATATATATATATATATATATATATATATATCGTTTAGTATATATATGCAGACAGATCAATTGCGCTTTTGCCAATGTTTCGACCACTCTGCGTTAAATTTTTAACGCGCAAAAACAAAAACTAAAAGCCTTTTCTCCAGCAACCAGATCTGACTTCGAGCTTATTCGGCAAATTCAGCGTGACGACATTTACAGGGTGTCCACTTTCAACGAGTTTTCGCTTTGCGACCGGACATCTCTTAATGAACAAACAGTAGATGTACGAACTTCACAGAGTCACGCGAGACTTTCCGACGACAATCCGATACGTTAGATATCTCTCGTCATCCAAGAAAAAGGAACAGAGAGGTGAAGAAAGACGGAGACGGGGTGATTTCGATGGATCCTTCTTCCATCGGATAGAATCCATCTCTTTTTCCATACCTCTTTTCGCGTGTAACACGAACCAGTTTTGCCAAGATCTCCGATTACACACTTTCCGGACGCACTGGAATTTGACTTTTTTCCACCACCTTCTCTTCTCTCCTACCGTTCTTTTTTCGTGTCGTCTTATTGATGTATCGAGTATATGATGGTGAAAATATAAAAAACAACGTTCGCTATTCCTTCTTTTTATTTTTATTTTTATTTGTTTCATGCCTTTTATTGTATAATAAATAAATAAATGTGTCATAACATCGACACTCGACTCGTATTGCTATTGAAACTAATTTGTTAATAAAATATAAAAAGTTGTATATTTTTCTACATCGAAATTATCTTAGTTTTCATCTTGTTCTCGAAAAGATCGTGATTTTCGAGAATTTTTTAAAAATAGCTCTCTACACATTGCGAAAAATATAAGTTTCTAAAGTAGTTTTTCTATATTGTTAGATTAAAATTTTCACGATTGTTTGTACAATCTCCGTAAAAAATACAAAATTTATATTTATTAAATAAGTAGTGTTAAAAGATTATAAAAAATAATAATTATAAAAAAAATATATTGTATTTCTATATAAAGATGTGTTCTCACCTCTCTTGAGCAGTCCTGATACCCTGCTTTGTACCTGGACAGGCCGGGCTGAGCGAGCGATCTCTGTCGCTGCAAATGCCTGACTGTAAGCTCCAAAATATCGGCTTTTTCGAGCTTGCTATGTTTTGTATTTTCCAGGCGGGCGCTATCGAGAATGAGCGCCTTCAACGCCGCTAAGGATTGGTTGATTCTTGCTCGCCGTCGTTTTTCCATTAGTGGTTTGTTAGCCTGAAAGACGCGCAAATCTTTTATATATATAAAACTGTTAATAACTCGCATTTTAAAATTAATATATAGCAATGTTCACATTCCGAAGTAAGCAATTGTATTGTTATTTCCGATAATTAAAAAGAGAAATAGATTCCCTTCCTCTCTATTAAAATCAAATTCATGTATAACTTAGGTCATGTAGGGTATTATTAAAGATATTACTGACTCAAATTGAAGATAGGCCGGATTAGGTTTAGATTTGGACGAGGTCCGAGTTGAACGAGACTGGCTTCTCGTCTTTTTCTTTATAACAGATATTTCCGTTTTTCCAAGAACTTTTGGTATTATTTTTTACTTTTGCTTCCTTTTGTTCATTTGATAGAGGTTTTTGACGCTGTAACCAATGGTATTTCACATTTCGTTTGTCAAATGTAAAATATCAAAATTTTCCTAGTTATGGAAAGTATGCGATTTCTCTTGTAATACAGTCTCTTGCGAATATCTCTACGTTTTAGCAAATGCTTTACTTTTTGGTAGCTTTTGATTCGCTAATCATGAAATGCCAATGTCGTTTCGCGACTACTCGGGGGTGGATGCAAGAAAGGGAGAAATCGTGGAAGCTCTGACAGAGAGATATGAGATAGTCGCAGACGAGCGAAGATAGGATATAAAGTGGACTAGACTTTAAATGGATGGCATAGCCGGTACGCGAAAACGCACACAACGGGTGTTTCAAAAATGCACATAAAAGGCAGATTTATTTTTCATATATCTTTGCGATATATGTGTTATGCGGTAATTTCGCTAAAGAAATATATTAATACTATTAAAGAAGACTATTAAAGAATTTCTGAAAAGTTGAAATTTTTTGAAAGACTTTATGATTAAGCAGCGCTGTAAATTCCTTTATATTATATACATGTATTAATTGAATATTCATAAAGTGAACATTTTCTATATTACTTATAATATTTATCATGTGTTTACGTGTTCATGAAAAAAATAAATAAAAAGATAAAAAACTATGTGTGACAAATGAAATGAGTGAATAAATGCTCGTTTCGAAAATAAAAGTGAAATAATTAATGAGCAAAGAAGAAAAAAAAAGAATTAATGTTAATAATATATGTGAAAAAAAAATGAAAACATTTCTTTCAATTTGAAAAAAAAAGAAATAAAGAATTACTGCAAGGAAGATAAACATAAAAAAACATGTCAATAAATTAGCATGCAGGATCGAACCTGCACAAAAGCATTTTTATCGAAAGAAAGGACTTTTAAATATACACGATAGAACTAGAATGAAAATTTTTTGAAGGAAACTGATATAAAAGGTGAGATGGATTTGTAGAGTCGCATTCGAATGAGGAGATGATAGATATTATGAAAGATGAAATTAGTGTCTTATGAATATACAGGGTGTTTCATTTTAATTTTCCCAGGCAAATATTTCGGAAAATAATGAAAAATCGAAAATATGTTTCAGACAAAAGTTGTTGGGTTCTAGGGGGTTGTATAGTTTCTAGGGGGATATAAGATGGTGCTTTTAGTTTGACCTTGAAGAGTCACATGAAGGTTACGTGAAGATTGAATTTCTTAAATAGAATACCCTATATATTTTTGCATATTCTTGTAGCTTATCTCGAGAGCTTTCCAAAACACTATAAATAAACATTTTTTCATCAAGTGCTTTTCGAATTATGAGGCTTGAAATTATTTTTTAATTTTACATAAATCGTAAAATAGCTTGTAAAATATTCATTTTCGATTATTTTACCTTAATACTTTTATGTACAAAATAATGAGAGGAATCAATTGGTGTAAAGAAAACATACAGTTGTTTTTAAGAAAAAATATGGAATTGTTAATTGTAAATTACATATTTTTTCTTCGAAATAATTAAAAGAATGCGAAAGCGAAAGAGAGGATGAAAGGAGAGTGAAAGAGGAAGAGTAGCGCGGAAAGATAAGAAGATATAGAGCGACGAATAAAGTCAACTTTAAAGCGAGAGGAGGAGAGAAGACCACAACGGTCGAAAAAGATAACAGGTAACGGAGATGTGTAGAGTGAGCCGGTGACCGCAGACGCATGAGTGCGATGAAGATAAGCTGAAGAGGAGAAGGATGGTTAGAGAGAAAATGAGATGAAGCCGGCGCGATGCATTCACACAGGAGCGCCGCGACATGTAAACAAACGAGCGCGCCGCAATACTCGTATGTACGTGTGTGCGTACATATTTATATACGCTCGTGTCATCGCCGACTACCGTGGCATTCTTGTGTCCTTCTATTATTACAAGAGGTACGAAAGAGGAAGAAGAACGAATAGAAGAGAGGAGGGAAAAAATTAAATGCGTGCCTATCGGCGATGGACTCTCGCGTGCGGGCTTCGCACCACGTGTTCTGTAGGAAGAATTTCATAACAGAGATGTTTAAATTTCGCTCTATTGAGACTCGAAAGATGAAATTAAGTCGGGATAAATTAAATCGGGAACCTTATTTTCTTTTTATTTTGACTTTATTTGTCGATTAAAAGTTGACAACATTTGATGAAGCGTCTTCATCATCGAGATTTTAATTTATTAATGTATTTATTCTAAAATGAAATTTTACTGAGAAAATTAATGATAGAAATGTTAAACATTTGTTAATAAAGAATTGATTAGTGAAATATATTAATAATTGGAACGAATATAATTAATAATTAGAACGAATTAAAAGAAAACGCTAGAAAGGATTAGAAAAAGATAAGAACACTTTCGTTTTCGCTATATTTTAATAAAAGAAATCTTTACTTTAATAAGATTGAGTTTTATTTTTTGTAGTATCTTATTATATATTTTCAGTGTTTGCTGGTATCTAGATAAAATTATCTAGATAATCATCTAGATAACGAAATGGGTCATCTTTATCTTTAACTAGATGAAGAAATACAAAGTATCTTTATCTTTATCTTAGATGAAAAATATATGTCATCTTATCTAAAAATTGTCTAAGATGACGTTTTCATTATGCAAAAAAGTTTTCCAGGCAAGCTTCTAAAAATCTATCTAAAATATCTAAAATATATTTTTTATATTATTATTATTAATATATTATAAATATATTATTATTATATTATTAATATATTAAAAAAATATATTATAAATATAAATTAATAAATAAATATTTATCATATCATTTATATACCTTTTTGCTATTATTTAAATATTCTTTAGGAAAAGAGAAAGAATATGATTTTAATATCCCATTTATAATCTGCGTCACATTTTTTACAAATATTTATAGTCTTCTAAAATAAACAAAAATATCTAGATAATTATCTAGATTATCGCAATAATTATTTCATCTTTCATTTAGATTAAGTAAAAGCAAAATCATCTTTATCTCATCTAAGATAAATTTACGGATTTTTATCTTTATCTTTATCTAGATAATTTTGAAATTATCTACAGCAAACACTGTATATTTTAAAATTAATTTTAAAATTAACAAATATCTATTCATGCACGATCTGCAGTCAACTGTTTTTTCAGTTTACCCGCGAGAAACCAAATTGCTACATTTTTCTGATAGATATCGAAAGATAATATTCGTCACACCCGAAATAACAAATTTTAAATCGTCGTGAATATTCTTTTACTCGGTATGATGTGGAAAATAGTCGCGTACGCAGGAAGATAGCTATGCATTGCTATGACTTTGACGGTGTCATCGATTAGCGTGTTACGCGCGATAAATCTCATCGCTTACCGTTTTTTTAGCGCGTCACGTACGACACAGCATTATGAGTCATCCTTTATCCTACAAACTTCACTAACAGCCGGAATTTTTAAGATTGTTGTTTTTTAACAGCGATCTGACTGTACTCGATCACGTCATCTTTCTGTGTATTGGAGCTACAAGAAGCTCTGCAGAAACTTTAATTTCTTTAATATACAAATTTATTAAATTATTTTTATGTTGTCTAGAAGAAACTTTTTAAACAATCTTTTTTCAACCTATCACATTTAAGAATTTGTATCAATAGTGAAAACTTTGAAGCTGACATTTATTCATAATTAAAAAATTAATTATTTTGCAATTTTATTGTATTCTTCTTTCCTATTAAAGATAAGATTTTAGATTGATTTATAAAGGGGTAACAAAATTATTATTTAATTTAATATCAAATTTATTATTTTTTGATAGACAAAAAATTCAATATTTTGATCTTTACTCTCTTTGATTCCGGAGAGATGATATTATATACGTGCTATTCGCTTATTTCATTATCATTTGGCTTGTGAATTATCAGGAAGAAAGAATGTCTTCGTTTCGTTTATGATAAATCGAATAAAATGCGTGAGCAACAAGCGACAGGTAAATAAACTGGATATAAACGAAAAAATAAATCCGTTAAGAACCGTCAATTACATCGTCATCGGTCCAACGGTGACAGCGATGACCAATGTCCATCGTGTTTTCCCCTCCTATGTCCGTCGTGTTTTCTCCATCTACCATTTTGAAATCCCACGAGACTTTTACGCAATCTAATGTATCCAAGAATTCCCTCATTTATCGCGCCGATCTCTCAACGATAATTCGACGATGTAAATGCGATAAGGATTTCTTATTTGGCACTTTAAAGAGATAGAGAAGAGATGCTGATGATTAGGCATGCGAAAATCATATGCACATTTTGCTCTAAACCTTAATTAATATTTTTAAAAATATAATTTAATTATATGATTTTAAACTGATGAAATTGTTTACATTTTTTTAGTTGTTATTATTTATCTTTTTTAATTATATTTTATTTTCTATAATATTTCTAAATATAACTTTAAATATAATTATATTTAAATATAACTTCAATTTCATTTAAATTTGTTCATTCAAACTTTATTGACTACATGTTCCTTTTTTTCTTTACTTTTCAATACTTCTTTCTTTTTTTAACTAAAATTTTCGCGCTTTAAGGTAGGGCAATATTCGGCGCGTGTCTTCCGGGCTGTGAATCCATTTCGCTAATAAAGACGAATACACAAAGTTAGTGCCCTTCGTCCGCTAAGGAAACTTTCCTAACGCATCGCTCGAGCGCGTGTATTCTCACGCGATGCGGATCACCGTAAAAGGCCAGCACTTGACGCACGCATGCACCACCGATTAACCACGCCTTCCGTTACGTTCGCGATATATTTTGTGGAATGAACGATTCCTCCTTTGTGCCTGTATGTTTCTTTTTCTGTGTTTCTATTTTTACATTTAAATGAATAAATTTCAATATACAGGGTGCTTCATTTTAATTTCTCCAGGCAAATATTTCGGAAAATAATAAAAATTCGAGAAAATTTTTCAGACAAAAGTTATGTTTTTGAGGGGGACATAAGGTGGTGCCATTAGTTTGACCTTAAAGAGTCACCTGAAGGTTACGTGAAGATTACCTCCAACTTTTTAAATGGGACACCCTATATACTTTTACATATCCTTGTAGCTTGCCTCAAGAGCTTTGCAAAACACTAAAATAAAGTATTTTTTCATTGAGTACTTTTCGAGTTATTAGGCTTGAAATAATTTCTTAATTTTACATAAACCATAAAATATTTAGTAAAATATTCATTTTTCGATTATCTCACCTCAACATTTTTATGTATAGAGTAATGTGAGGAATCAATTGATATAAAGAAAAAACATAATTGTTTATAAGAAAAAATATGTAATTGTTAATTGCATATTACATATTTTTTTTTAGAAACAATGATATGTTTTCTTTACATCAATTAATTCCTCTCATTATTTTGTACATAAAAGTATTGAAGAAAGATAATCGAAAAATGATATTTTACTAGATATTTTACTAGATATTTACTAGATATTTTACGGTTTATGTAAAACTAAGAAATTATTTCAAGCTTTATAACTCGAAAAGTACTTAATGAAAAAATATTTGATTATAGTGTTTTGGAAAGCTCTTGAGGCAAGCTACAAGAATATATAAAAGTATATAGAGTATCCCATTTTAGGTAAAGATTTACAGTTGGATATAACCTTCATGACCTTCTGGTGACTCTTCAAAGTCAAAGTAATGGCACCATCTTATGTCCCCCTAGAAACTATATAACTTTTGTCTGAAACATTTTTTCCAATTTTCATTATTTTCCGAAATATTTGCCTGGGGAAATTAAAATGAAACACCCTATATATGTGTGTGTGTAAAAATTATATTTTATCTATATTCTTATTATAATATTTTATATTTTTATTTATTAATCAAATTGCGCTTAATGATATTATTTTTTTTTATTTATTCTTAATATATAAAAGTTTGAAAAAAGTATACAACAACTAAAAAAGCATGGAAAGAAGAAGCCGCATTTGCGATTGCGCGTTTCTGTCGAATTAATTGGATGAACTTGAATTACACTTTGAATTATATATACAATGATAGCAACGCACAAGAATGAGCGTTTGGACAATCTGTACGATAATCGCCCGTAAATGTGTTTAATTATCGCAAATTAACATTATACAAAGCTCTGACATACGTCGTTCGTGCCCTTGCAAATTGTCATGTGTTGGCGCATGACGAAGAAAAATAAGGAAATGCTTTCGTCATGTGTTTCATTATTAGCAATTTGTTCATCAATGACAAATTCGAGAAAATGATTGATTGTCATCATTTTTTAAAATTCTTTTGAAATCTGGAAAAAAGCTAATTATCCGCGTATTATAATCATCAAATTATGTTACTGAATAAATGCGAAACAGGATATCTACTTACAAATTTTGTAAAAAAAATTTTCTGAAAATTTCCCTAATCTTCCAAATTTTTTTGTTTAAAATTCTAGATAAAGAGAATTTTCTAGATGCAATTTTCTAAATAAATTTTTTTATTGTGCGTTTTCTAATGCTCTTTCTTCATACGAAAGAAAAATAAGAAGCTGCTTAAATTTCGAGTGCTAGAAAGAAAGATTTGAAAATATATCGAAAAAAAAAAAACTAAATAATTTTTGTAAGATGAACATTTTTCACCTACATAATTATGCCCACATTATACCCGCATTTTTATTTTTCCATCCCTAAAAATGTATTGTATGTACTAATAAAAAATGTACTGTATATTCTATTAAAATATTAAATTTATATAAATAATGACATATATTTATTATATATATATATATATATATATATATATATATATATATCTGTTTATATATTTAATAATTCACAATTTGGCTAATCGATGGATTATTGATTGCTTAAAATATAAGGGTAAAATTATCAAAGAGATAATTGTTTTTCTAAAATTCTCTAATTTCAATAAAATTCCACGAGAATTTTCTGATATTTTTAAATATAAAAAATTCTCTAAGAATTTCAGATTCTCTATTTATTTCCACACCATTCCACATCCTGGATAACAATATGATCAAAATTAGTTTAACAATGTCATTTAGAAATTTATCACTTTCTTGTATACTAAATATCACATACAAAAATTTTTGTATACAAAAATCGTTCAATTGCATATGATCATATTTCACCTCTCATACACGCTTAATACATAACTATTTCTTATTCTGCTTTTTACCGCGATTTTAACGTGCAAATCCACGTAATGAGCCATATTCTTTTTATGTGTCGAGTGGTTATATTTTTTTACGATCCGAAAACGAGCGAAGGTCGCAACTTTGAATTCTGGAATCTCGCGGAATCCGTCGCGAGACTGACCCACTTTGCGACGATTAGAGAGAGAAGAGAGAAGGTATCGCGAACGCAACACCTGCTCGTGCTCTTTTTTTTATTCAAGTTTTTTAGTCGCCAACTTTTCCTAGAGTCACGTTGAAAACTGCTACTCATTACGATTGTATGGGAAAGCAAAATCGCAATATTATCTGCTTATTTTTTACATTCACAGTTATATACAAAGTGTATGTGTGCAAATTTATAACTAATATCGTATATAAATAATTCGATCTTAAAAAATAAATACAAAAATATTTTACTGTGTACGTTTTGAAATGATTTTTCTATTTTCATATCTATATTAGATAAACACACATAGGAAGTTAATATATTATAATATATTAATATATATTAATATATTAATATATGTATATATATATATATATATATATATTAATATATTAATATATTAATATATTAATATATGTATATATATATATATATATATATTTATAACATTATCTAAAATATAAAAAATAGTACATTTTGGAAAATAATATATTATATATAATATATATATATTATATATTATATATTATATACATATATTATAAATTATATATAATATATTATATATAATTATATATAAAAAGAAAATAATATTATTATACAAAATAATTTATGTATACAAAATATAAAATTAATGATTTAAACCAATTTTGAATTGATGTATTAAAATTATTACATGCTTTATACAAATAACTTAGTCATAAAAGTGCATTATTTCACATTAAATTTATATATTTATGTACTATTTAATAAATTTATTTACCCATATATATATATATATATATATATATATATATATATTTGGGACACCCTGTATATATATATATATATATATATATATATATAGGGTGTCCCAGATCACCCATACACCCCTTTTAAAATGAAAATAAATGACTTTTATCAAAAATCGCGAACAATTTTTAAATAAATCGGGTACACTCTATCAAATGATGACATTTTCAACTTTTGATTCCGACCGGAAATACGCCATTCGGATCGGAAGTTGAATTTTTTTAGGGGAACATGATACTTTTTATTACAAATTCGAATTGTACATGAAAAATAAGAAACTTTTGTACATACACACACACATGTGTAAGTACAATCAAAAATTGAATCAAAAGTTGGAAATATCACCATTTGATAGATACATACTATAACTCTTTTACATATACAAACACACACACACACATGTGTGTGTATTTAAAAATAGATACATGTATATTTATAATATGGTATATAAATGTAAATATGTAAATATGTCTAACTCGTCTAATATATTTTTAAGGAGATAAATAAAATATTTTACATATCTTGATAAAAAAATAATAATATATTAAATAAAGATAAAGAAAAGATACGAATTAATTTTCTATTAAGTAAAAGTCTGTTTCCAAATATCTTTGAATAAGAATTATACTAAACTTTTTTTCGAAATTAACATTATCATCTGTATTTAAATGCGAGTTTATATATATATATATATATATTTTTTTTTTGGAGTTTCACAATTCTAATTAATCAGCTATTTTCACGTAGGCATTGAATAATAAAAAGTTGAAAACAGTGTACGTGTCTGATATCAGGTTCGTGTCCAGCGGTTTTACGATCGAAAATTAAACGCGTAAGAGAGAGATAGAGAGAATTGGAAAGTAGGGTGAATCGCGATCTGGAATTACGCGGTCATGCGCCGTGAGGGATGAGATCTCATTCCTATATGACTGATTAGGTATTCTTAAAATCTGTCATTGAATTATTATTTTCATATTCGCGCTCTTTATTCCTATTATTTTAAATATTTTTCTACATTTTTGAAAAAGTTAATAATAAATCTTTGACATATTTTAAAATCCTCTACATAAGTTTCGCAGACACATATACACAATATATGATAAAATTCTTAATTTAAAAAGATTTCTTTTTTAATTGCACGCAACATGCAATAATTTTTCGAATCAAAAAATTCGCATTTATTTCTAAAAAAATATTCTATATTTCACTTACTCTTCGTCCGTCCGAGTGTTTCGGGCTCGGGCTGAGGCTGGGACTGGGGCTCGGTGCCGGGCTCGGACCCTGATGCACGGCCTGTTGATGTTGATGATGCTGCCTGTGGTTGCTGCCGGCTGATTTCTTCTCCTGATGCCTCAGCGAGTGTAAACGCGCGGTCATTTTAACAGGCCGCGACGGCCCTTGGCTCTGATCGCAGCAGCACCCTACGTGATTGGCCGGATTGGGCGACTGAGGCTTTAAGCATCTCGCGGCGGCCTGCGACAGCGAGACCAGACTACCCACCAGATTATTGCTTTCCTCGCGACTGCTGTTGGCACTAACGATAATATATTACAAACTAATCACCGTTGTACCATATTCTCGAATGTCTCGAGAGATCAAGTAGCGCGTCAGCCAAGAATCTTGGAATACGAATTCAAACACGTTACAATGCGCGTCAAAGTTCTCTTAGCGAGCAAATCACAAAATGCACTCACTCAGAGTTCTCTTAGCGATCCAATCACAAAATGCACTCACTCGCAACGCGACCAATGGAGACCAACGATCTGTGTCACTCGTTTGTCGTACGCACGCACAATTGTTTGACGCGCCAAATACGTCCAGAGAGAGAAGGAAAGTTCCACAAAAGTTCACACTCACGGGTAATTGTACACACTGATGCGCATACCGCGCCACGTGGTTAACCACGCGTCGCCGAATCACTTGTCACTCGCGAGCGTATCAGCCGTTGGTTGGCTCGCGTGCTTGCCGTTGATTTTTATCCAATTCCTTATTTGCTCCGTAAAATTTTCACGGATGTGCACTCCGAATTAATCGATAAACAATTAAACAAAACGCACTCAATCACAAATATTCGAGTAATAAAATAACGTTTCGTTTATACCGATAATTTGGAATCATACGCGTCGAATGACGCTTCTCTATTGATATCAGAATCAAGTATAGCGCTCCACTAATCTTACTCCGGAAAAGAATTCTACGGTTTAAAATACAAAGAATTTCTCGCTTACGAGTTCGCGAATTACCAAGCTCACAAATATTCGAAAATATGCAAAGTAATTCACTTTCGTGTCGACTTATGCACGGAAGGTTGCTCACTGTCAACGATAACGAGACACACGCAACGCATGCAATCTGACTGTGAAATTGTCCACGTGTGCTCGCGCAACGAGCGATAGTGGAGGACTGTGAGGCAGTGAACATTAACTGCTAGCGGCTGTACGCGGCGAGCTTGGCGCGCCGGGGTCGCGCGCGTCGGCAGTGAGGACGGCGGCGGGGGAAGGGGGAAGAGATGGCTCGCGTCGTGGTTGGTCGTGCGTGGGGGGATACCGGAGCACAACGGATGACTCGCTTGCTCGGCGTGGCGCGGCGCGACGCGGCGTGGCGGGATATAACGCGGCGTGGCGCGGCACGGCGCGATGCACACGGCGTGGCGGCGGATCGGTCGGAAGGCTCGCTTGCCTGCTCACGCGCGCCCCTACTTGCGGCTACGTGCGGACATCTCCTATTCCCGTCCTCCTCTCGTTCACCGCTCGCTTTGTCGCGATCCGCGTCCTTCTCGCGCGCATCATGCCTTCGTCTCTTTATCGCTCTCTTTCTCTTTTTCTCTCAGTCGTTTTATTGCCTAGCCACCGTGAAGCAGCGTCGAGGCAGGAACCGATTTGGATATCGGTGGATCTTTTTCTCATCCCCCCTCTCCTTCCATCCTTAGCTTTCTTTCTCTCTGTCGCGTTTCTTTTTTTTTTTTAATCAATGTCTACTACTATTTCTACAGTTTTTCGAGATAAATGAGAATTAAAACTCTACCACGCACGCGGCAAGTGCTGACTAAATACGTTTATACGCATAGAGAGATGAGCACCGCGCGAAAAGATACGCCACTTTTTTTTCTATTGCTTAAGCAACCCTATGGAAAATATACAGTTTATAGTTATATATATATATATATATATATATATATATATATAATACAGAAAAATTCCAATTCTGTTTAATTATTAAAAATATTGTAAAGATTGTTCTACATATAATAAAAAAAAGGAATATAACAATATTATAGTATTTAGAGAAGAGATCCTGAGAAAAAGAAAATAACTTCGATCGCATACATTTTCTCTATATATAATTCAATATTTTCAATATAAAGTCTATATTCAAAATCTCAAATCAGAGAAAAATAATGTGACAATAGTTTGATGTGTACATATATATATATATATATATATATATATATATATATACATATAATATTTAACTTTTGCACATATTCTCTATCATCGATGTGATAAAAAATATGAAATAAAAATATAAAATAATTCTTTTCTTGTGAAATTCGACTGCGAAGATTTTTTTCCACTATTTTGCCACTAAGATATCCGTGAAATGTGTTATTAATATTTAGATATTGCTGATATCGATCTACACATCGCTTGGAAATAGTAAACGTTTTCCGGTTAGAACACGCTAAATTATACTATGTAACATCGTGTAAAATTCTTGTTGGAACGATCAGTAGGTTTAATCTCTGAAAATTCCAATAGAGGCGATTTTCGATCCTAATATATTATAGGTTCTAACGAAATAATTGTATTATTTATTACAATGTAGGCACGTAAAATCTGAAAAATAATAAGAAACTACATATAATATATAATAAATGTTTATGAAAATAAATAAAAAAATTTATATATATATATATATATATATATATATATATGTGTCTACAGGGTGAGCCATTTTAATCCGTTCACTCAAATATTTCCAAACCATTAAGTTTTAGAAGAAAATGTTTTAGAAAAAAGTTGTTTGGTTCTGAGGGGGACAGAAGATAGGAATATTATATTAGTTAGATCTTGGGTGGCGTTGTTAAGGTCATATCAAGCTCACATTGAATTTTTAAAATTAAAACTCCTAATTTTTATTGCATATTTTTGTAGCTTATCTCGAGAGCTTTTCAAAATACTATAATATTAAAATATATAAAATATTTGTTCATCGAGTACTTTTCGAGTTATGAGGCTTAAAATAACATCTTAATTTTACATAAACCATAAAATGTCTAGTAAAATATTCATTTTTTAATTATCTTACCTTAATACTTTTATGTACAAAATAATGAGAGAAATCAATTGTACAGAAAACACATAATTGTTTCGAAGAAAAAATATGTAATATGCAATTAACAATTACATATTTGTTCTTAAAAACAATTGTGTGTTTTCTTTACACCAATTGATTCTTCTCATTATTTTGTACATAAAAGTATTAAGGTAAGATAATCAAAAGGTAAGGTATAAGGTAAGATAATCAAAAAATGAATATTTTACTAGATATTTTATACTTTATGTAAAATTAAGATATTATTTTAAGCCTCATAACTCGAAAAATACTCAATGAAAAAATACTTTATTATAGTGTTTTGAAAAGCTCTCGAGATAAGCTATAAGAATGTGCAATAAAAAATAGAGGTTTCAATTTAAAAAATTCAATGTGACTTAGATATGACCTTAACAATGCCACCCAAGATCTAACTAATATTCTTATTTTCTGTCCACCTCAGAACCAAACATTCTTTTTTCTAAAAAGTTTTCTTCTAAAACTTACAGGTTTGGAGATATTTGAGTGGACGGATTAAAATGGCCCATCTTTACTGTTTTGCGATATTCACAATAATTAATGAAAAATTAATTAAAGAAGATGGACCAATCTGCGTGTGTAAAAGCGCGACGAGAGTCGTCCCTGTAACCTTATATTAAGCGTGCAGCGAAGCGGTGAGTGGGGAGTGATGAGTAAGGCCCGGATTCACCACTTCTTTCCCACTCTCCGCTTTCCCGCGTGCATAATATAAGGTTAGAGGGACGACTCTCATTGGCGCGCGCTTCCATTTGCGCAGATTGGTCGATCTTCTTTAATTAATTTTTCGTTAATTATTGTAAATATCGCAAAACAGTAGAAGTTTTTCCTTCTTAATTTGAGCCAATCTACCTTCACACTTCGGGAGTGCGAAAAATTTTCAGACACCCTGTATACATATATATTTTATTTGTATTTTTTCTATCTTATATCCATTTTTTTTTTCTGAAATAAAATCCATCTGTCTACTCTCTAAATTGACTCTCTAAAATTTATTGTGACGTATATAATTATACATATAACTTGTGTGTGTAACATATGTATTGTATTATTTAAAGATTATGTCCAAACATATTATTATCACAATTTAAATAGTATCTATAAAATTTCTTACAATATTGTTAACATTGGTTAACGTTTGTACTTAGCATTTTATTGTGTCGGGCAGTGTAACACTGTCATAGTTGGGGCGCTTCTAAAATAGTAGACACAGTGTTACACTGTTCTCTGTGTCTAGCTAGAAAACATTCAGTATAAAGCGGCGTCCGTTCCTGTTGAAACGTCATCAGGCTTGAGAAAAAACTCGCTTCTACGCATCGCGCAGTGTGGCACGCGATAAGATCGTTGGGATTCGCGCACACATCGGCCTTTAATCTCCTCGTCTCTCAATGCGCGCGGAAAGGCGGCGGCGGTAACGGCGGCGACAGCGGCGATAGCGGCACGTTATGTGCGACGGAATAGCCGCAAAGAGGAGACGAGACGAAGAAAGGGCGAAAAACGCCGAAGCGACGCGACGAGTTGCGGTCGGCGGCGCGGCCAAAGTAGGGTAGGCAAGCGGGAGAGAAAGGGAAGGGAGAACGAGAGAGGTGGCGTAGCGGTGGGAGCTCAAATCGTGCCGGCGCTCGGCTCGTCGAGGCGATGAGCCCTTGGGGCGGCGGCCGTGCCGGCGGAACGCTGGGAATAGCGAGACGCGGGGTGTAGCGAGACGCGCGGGAGGCAACGAGCGTGCGACGGAAAGCGAGCAAGGGAGCGGGATGGCCTCGCCGCCGTCGTCGGCACGCGCGCCACGAAGCGCGCGATACCCATACATGCGCACACGTCTCTCGTCGAAGCGTACGTGTGAGGAGCGAGATTGGCGTGTATGTATGTGTGTGTGTGTGTGTATATGTGTGTGATATATATCTGAGTGAAGCGTACGAAGCGGCGGTGGGAATGTGTCGGACGATACAACGACGCGATGCACATTGGCCGAAATCAGGGAGTTTCGAGTAAAACGGTCATTATTTCGGCTGCGTACTTTTTGATTGCACACTACGGGTGAAAAGAATGAGAGGGAGACAACGTATTGGGACATGAGGACGATTAACACGCGTTTATGGTACACTTTGCGTAATAATGTTATACGTAAATATCGGTTATCTGATTGTTTTGAAATATAGAAAGGCAGATTTAAATCATTTAATTAAATGATTTTACATTTGCGTTATAATATTTAGAGAATCATGAAATATTCCATGATTGTTGATTTCGTTTCATATTGAACTTTTTTTAAATTTAAATTTTACATTTTGTTAAGACAAAAATAGTAATAGGTTGAATAATGGGGAAGCTGATATATATCTCCAAGTGTCAAATTCACTGTCAACGAAATTAACGTGCATGCAATAAAAAATGGAATTGTGTCACAATCGTTCAATCTAAAATGTCAGAGCATTTCTTTTTCTCTTTCATGGTATATTATAGCGTAATATTTCGTAGAAATTTCTCGTGCTCACTTCATTTGAAAATATTAGTTTTTTATATCGTGCTTTTATCATCTTATACTAATCAAGAGTTTCAACGAACTTGACTTTAAACACGAAATCAGCGAGCAAGTTTTTAATTTAAAATCCATTGCTGCTATCCGTGGCACGTGTGGCGGTGTATGAGTCGTTGTTATCGCTACCGCCTTGTATCGATTCAAGACATCGATAAGCAACACGCTCGTTGTGCATCACGAATCATGTGGAGAGCGGGGATATTTTTCATCGCATCTCCGCCGCGTCGGAATAATAGCATCCAGCAGTTCGTCGCCATACTGGGAAATTCTTCTAGTTACTGTCTTCTAATAAGGAGAGCATCTCTTTTTATTCGTCTCTCGAACGTTCATTTCTTCTCCTTGAAGTTTCTTTTTTTCGCCCAAAGCGTATGCGTGTCCGTATACCGTCTAAGCACTCACACGTAGAAATCACGAGATTTCATGAATGTGAAAGAACGATTCTGATGAATGAGAAGTAGCTAAGAAAAAGGAGGAGAAAGATAAAAGAGGGAGCAGGTTCGAAGCTTCAGCAGCGCTTCTCACGAAGAGACTTTCCTGATATAATGCGACAAAAAAAGAAAACTCTATCGTTTCGGTCTTGTTTCTGTTCGCTTCGGATTCAAGTAATGGTCTTATAAAATGTCCTTGTGTCGCTGTCTCAAAGCAAACGTAGCGATACGGATTCCATCTTCGGCAAATATCATTTCGAGCCGTCCGTGTCGTTATTAGTCTCAGCTGCTTCCAGTGTTTGCTGTAGATAATTTCAAAATTATCTACAGATAAAGATAAAGATAAAAATCCATGAATTTATCTTAGATGAGATAAAGATGATTTTGCTTTTACTTAATCTAGATGAAAGATGAGATAATTATTTCGATAATCTAGATAATGATCTAGATATTTTTGTTTATTTTAGAAGACTATAAATATTTGTAAAAAATGTGACGCAGATTATAAATGGGATATTAAAATCATAAACATATATTCTTTCTCTTTTCCTAAAGAATATTTAAATAATAACAAAAAGGTATATAAATGATATGATAAATATTTATTTATTAATTTATATTTATAATATATTTATAATATATTAATAATATAATAATAACATATTTATAATATATTAATAATAATAATATAAAAAATATATTTTAGATATTTTAGATAGATTTTTAGAAGCTTGCTTTAGATTTTTGGAAAACTTTTTTGCATAATGAAAACGTCATCTTAGACAATTTTTAGATAAGATGACATATATTTTTCTAAGATAAAGATAAAGATACTTTGTATTTCTCCATCCAGTTAAAAATAAAAATAATTCATTTCTTTATCTAGTTGATTATCTAAATAATTTTATCTAGATACCAGCAAACACTGGCTGCTTTCTATCGCGTATGGCGTTACAATTATTATCGTATATTCTTCATGAACTCACAAATTAACTTGCACAATTTGAACTGCACACCATAAAAAAAAGTTCCGCCTACAAATTAATAAATTTGAAAATGTTAATGTTTTGCGATTTATGCTTTTTTTATACAATTTTTATAAAACTCATTTCTTTTAATTGCGCGTGCTTATCTTTCCTTTCTTTAACTTTTCACCTTTGTCGAGTTACGAAAATGCGGAATTGAATCGAAATCACGGAACGTACGATCATAATTGTAAAAAAATGTTCGACCGCGGACTTGATTTATGATGAAAATTTTCGGAACACGCCGTAGGTAGTAGTGGCGCGATGACGCAGAGAGTCCATCCTGCTGTGGGAAATCCCACACAAGGCAAGAACGCCGTTGGTTAGATAGATGTATATATGTATCCTATATATATTGCACTCTTCCCGTTTCCCGCCTTCACTAGGTTCGTTTCTGTGAAATGTGCCACCTCACTTGACCGCATCTACCGGGTGTCATTCGCAAAAATAAGAGGCACAAAAAATGTCAATGTTACGAATTATCTTGTGCGTTATGTTATTTTTGCGCTTGATAATGATATCAATTTCATCAATCAAAAAGTTCTATTAAAATTTAAACCGAGCTTCAGGAACCCCGGAAAGATATATATTGAACTTATATATATCTTTCCGTAAATATATATATATATATATATATATATATATATATATATATATAGCGTGTCATAATAAAGAAACATATGTTCCATTCTTTTAATAATTAAAATTCACGTCGAAATCTGACATTGTATAAATCATAAAGAGATCGATATATATTTCTTTTTGAAAAAATCTTTGGATTTAATCTATGCGACTACAATTAATCGATGTGCTTTGCGAATTGTCTTGTCTGAATTTTCGCTGTATGAGAGAATCTCTCATTAGCACAATTGGATCGTATAGATTGAATTGTATAGACTTTCGAAAATCAACCAGCGTTCGAGCACTTGCTGGCTCCGATACTCCGGTCACGTCGAACTCGACCAAAAAGTGCCTCTCTTCGTAGACTTCCTCTTTCCTTTCACCTTGATTCCGCGTATTTCGTGTGTATTTCTCTCCTACCATCTTGCATCCCATCCATTCGGAATCTTGATCGTGAGCGCGCGTCGAACGATATAGATATGTACAGTCTCGAGAACATGTTTCAGCACCTATATACTTATATACATATAGAATTATACGAGATCTATTCGAACAGTACGTTTTATTCTTCCGTAGATTTAGGTTCCTATAATAGTATAAACTAATTTATAATAGCAAACAATGTATAATTTTTGATAGTATAATAATCATTGAAAATTTAACTCTTTTTCCCTCAAAAAACACATCTCTGGAAATAAATTTTGATTGGTATTGTTCAAGAGATAAGATGAACATTAACATTTCTTATATCGCTAGGTCTTAAACTTTTTCTAAACAGCAAGACACATCACATCTTAAAATGTAAGAGACTGATCAAATCCAAATCAATCAATCTATTTTACTTTAATTAGGATTAATTATATTTAAATAAAACTTATATGAAAATTGAAAAAAGTAGAAGAAAAATTGTTTCAATTTATGAAATACAGTGTGTTAAATATTTGTTATTAAAATGTATAACCAAAAAGATTTTAATAGCTTCACGGCAAGAAACTGTTTGCTCTATGCGCGCGTGCGAGAGTATGTTATGTGTGTATTTGTTATAAATAAACTATCTATATATAGGAAACGTGCGGGCGCACCGCCATGTAGCATACAAACACACACACACACACACATACACAAAGAATCTAAAGATCGCTGAAGAATCCACTCACTAACGTCAAACCCATTATTCTCATAGACGCCGAGCGGTCGGTCGGTTGGTCGCTCTCGGAAAGCATGGAACCGACACCCGAGCAACGATGATGAGAAGAAGGAGAAAGGGAGAAGGAAGGAGAACGCAGCGGAGACGTAACTGCGGGGCAGAAACGGCCGAGAAAGGCGAGAGGCTATTTTGTCCCGCGGTGAAGACCCGCAAGAGCTCTTCGACGACGAGACGGACTAAGAAAAAGGAGGAAGCGGGAGGAGACGGCGAGCAAAGACGACGGTGGCGGGCGTGCCGAAGCGGAGAAAAGAGGGAAAGGTACTCCGAAGCTTTTTGCGAGCGCGCTGCGCCATACCATGCCGTGCCACGCCGCCGTCATGCCGAGCCACGCCGTGTTCGTGCCGAACCACGCCGTGGTTAGATCGACCGCCGTTGCGGAGTTAAGCCGATGAGGCGCGCCCAGGCGGAACTGCCAAGGCCGCGGCGCACTCTTGGTGTGCGCGTGTGTGTGTCGCGCGGCGCGACGACACGCTCACGGGCGTGTCGTCGACAGCGGTGGTGCACGGTCTGCGAGGTGATGGAGCGAATTCACAACGAGCGGTGGCGAGACATTACGCGGGCGCCGCGACGAGAGACGAGGCTCATTAGCGCCACGATCTTTCCATTCTCTTCCCACTGCGTATACTGTACTATAATATACGAGCGAAACAAGGGATGGAAAGTAATAACGCAAGTGCGTGTGATCTTACTTCTTTAACGCGAGGACTCATATGACCGGCGCTTTTTATATAATTATCAAAAGAAATTTCCGATATTAAATGTGCATTTTTAAGGTGGAGATAATTTGATTGAGCGATTTAAATCATACTTAATATATACATATATACTTTTATATATATATATATATATATATATATATATATATATATCGTAAAATATATTAGAATTTCTCTTTCAATGTCACATAATTTTGTAGTTGATTGCAACGGGAAAGTACCTGAAAAAATCTACATATCACACATTTACAAATATAAATATATATACAAAAATATATATATATATATATATATATATATATATATATATATAATTATATATAAAATATATGGATATATGTTTTCTTTTTTTGGTATCATTTTTATCCATATATGTAGAAGAAAAATAATAAAAAGAGTTGAAAAATAATAAGTAGAAGAATAATTTTTGCATCTTCTTTTTTAGGAAAAATGAAATTGGAAGGAATGAAAAAACATTCTTTATAAATAATCATATATAAATTTATATATGTGATTATATATGTGATTCTGCCAATTATTTTTTTTATCTATTCTTTTATTATTTTTCCTATATATAAGGATAATATAAATGTATATATATGTGTGTGTGTGTGTATATTTTTTTTTCTCCTGAGTTTTTCCCTGTTCTTGAATGATTTCGAAGCACATCGATTTATTGCTTATTTTTTAAAAATTCCATATACAACGATTTTTTACTACTAGTTCATTGAACGTTCATAATAATTTATATCTTTTTACCTCATTATCATTAAAATATTGCTCCGATTATAACATGAGAGCAATATTTTTTTAGATGTGTATCGGATAATCATGTTAAGTTTCTCAACTATATATTGCGTATACATATATCATTGCTGATGAACAGTGTTGCGCTTAGGTAATTTAAAATAATCTAGATACAGATTAGATAAATCATATACTCATGTATCTCAAATAAGGTAAAGATAATTCGATTTTAGTATCTAGATAAAAGATGAATTAGCTAAATATCTTATCTAGATACTTTTAAGATAATATTTAAAACAACTTAGGATATATAAAAATAATATACTCGAGACAAAAAATTACAGAAAATAAGCATGTATTCATTTGACAACAATAATGAGTATAGGCCGTGTCCACAATGTCAATATCAATCAATGTGACCAATGTGATTGTGGCTGCGTTCTATTTAACGACCGCAACGCTAGCAGAATCATCTTATCCTTGTTGGTCGCTAAAAGTTAAACAAAGACACATAATGTTTACGAGTGCCGCGATCATTAAGTGGAACGCTTTTAAATCTGTATTACACTATACGTTGCGGGCTCGATTACGGTTGAAATTGACCGATTGGAGTAGTCGGCCGATAAATTGCTATGGTTTGGAAAAATTACACTCAGTGCACATTGATTACATTATCTTAAGTGTTTTAATAAAAGATATCACTTTTCTTATATCTGAGATACAGATAAAGATACCACTTGAATTATATAGATAAAAAATAAAATAAATAATAATTGCATCTAGATAAAAATCTAGATAATTTTATCCAGATAACGGAAAACACTGCTGACGAATGCATCTCATGCCGCTTTTTCGTCGTGTGTTGAACGATAATCGACGAACACGCGTTTGACGGCGCTGTACGACACAAAAGAAAATACGTGAATGTGTATTTTTAATGAACTCCGCACCAGACTCACGCGCGTGCGAATATGCAAACGCGTTTTGCATGTACGCATCACTTTCCATGAGTATATACATACCTGTCTGCTCGCGACATCAATAACAAATGCGCGCGAATAACACCACCCTTTCTTTTATCATACTCGATTTGTAGTTCGTTTTTTTTGGAATAATAAATAATAGAGATAAGTGCACAGTTGTTCTACATTTTTGAGAGAGAAGGGAAAAGCTTGCATCGCAAAAAGCAATTGATTTTATAAATTAAAACATTAATGTATAAAAGCTTTAGCTATAGACAATGGAAGAGATGTGTACATATATTCTATGATAATACTTTCAAATAAAAGAAATAATTATAATAAAGATATAAAAAAAGTAAAGGAATAGCGAGAAAAAAGGGGGGGGGGGAGAGAGAATATGCAATAATAAGACTTGTCTATATATTTCATTCTATATATCTTAATTATAAGCATGTATGCAATTAAATTATGATGAAATTTCATCATTTCAATTAAATTATAATAAAATTTCATCATTTCTCATATAACATGAAATGAAAGAAAAAGTGAAGCGAGAATTCATTCATGAATTTTGTTTGCTAATTTGTATAATGTCAATGCTAGTTTTGAAGATTGTATTTGTCTTTTAGATAATTATTAGGAAACTTATATAATTGTGGTAATGCATTAGTAGGGGCTTACAATAAATCTCTATTGCTGTATAAAATTTATAAAGTAGATATGTTAAGATATGGATACATAGAATAATGGACATATTAAGTATTTAGTCTGAATTATGACTCGCTCTTATAACGAAATATAATATATATATATATATATATATATTAGTGCTAGGATATATATATAAGATATTTCCGGACATTTACGACAAACTTAAAGAGGTGATAGATCTCCATAAATGGAACAATTTTTATTAAGCAACTCGTGTCCGGCGATACTTCTTTAAGGCGCCAGATTGCGATGAACATTTACACAGTTTACGAAAGTTTAGTGTATACAACCCCTGTTAATACCCGAAATGAGTTCATTTACAGGACGCATTTATGAACGCATGCGATACAATTCGCAATAATACTAGAATTTTTCAGAGGGTGCATCAGTAAATGCGCAATGTTTGTATTGAGGTTGCAGGTCACCATTTTGAACATTTATTGTAATAAAAAAAAATATATATAATTTAAAAAATGTATGATTTTTAAAATTTTAATCTAACCATATAGAAATCAAACAGCATTCATCGCAGCTTGGCGCTTTAGGGAGACATCGTCGGACACAGGTTGCTTAGCAAAAATTGTTCCATTTATCTATCACCCCTTTAAGTTTGTCGCGGAAATGTCCGGAAACACCCTGTATATATATCTTAGCACTCGTCCATAAAATTGCTTATCATGTTTAATAGATATAAAAGAAAAGGAAAGAAAAGGAAGATGTACAAAAGACAAAGAAGATAGAAAAGATTTTGCTCGATAGCTTCAGCAAATTTTGATCATTCTTAAAGAAACAAAAAAAAGAGAGAGAATTAAGTGCACACGAAAGAGCAAGAGATGAGCGAGCGCGAGAAATTCGAGACGCTCGGTGTCGAAATGCTATCCGGCATACAAGAAAGGACAATCCTCATTAGCGAGAGCTTGCGGCACGGCGGCAGCGGCGTGGCTTGGTATGGCAACGGTATGATGTACAGTGTGGCGTGGCACACACGTGCAGCACGCGCGAATTCGATACGCCGAAAGGAATGCTGTAGATAGAATAGTTGATACGGATTAAGGAGGCCGCTGCGTCGTGTCGCCTTAATCTTTTGAAAACGGTTATTTTTTTGAAAAATTAAACTTTAATATAAAGTTCATAAAATTAAAAGTATTTATTTAATGAAAACATAGTTTTGATTAAAAATATAAATTAAAGTATGATATTCCTTGAAGCAATCAGTTACATAGAAACCATACACTCTACGCATTCATACTTTAACTCTGATCTTTTCTTTTCTCACTGACTGATTGCAAATCTTTTTCTTCCTTCTTTATTAGGTTCAAATTAAATATGAGAAGAAAAATGTTTATCAATAAGTATGTTCGGATGTTCTCCTGCATTTGTTGTTGTTTCCGGTTACAATTGATTTCGCATTGATAATTTCTCTGATCGAACTCTACACTTCTCTGACTAAACTCTAAAATTACTAAACTGATTCCATTTTCAGTAAACTTCAAATTTTAGGGAGGGGGGAGGAAATAAGTACAAAACATGAAAATATGTATGTATAACATATCGATTAAAGTTAAAAACATATATATACGATATGTTTGTTGTTTTTCTAAAAAACCTCAAAATCTAGTCTATCTCTGTCATTCTCAAAGGGTTAACTTGTGCTTCCATCACATTAATGATAGTTTGCATGACACGTGATAGTTGCATGATAGTTTAAGGATACATCAAGTGAATTCATCAGTATGTTTTGAAATCAAATATAATTCCATTTTTATCGTATTGCAATCATAATTTCGTTTTTATACGCTTTAGATTATAAAAATTTTTTCTAGATATTTCCTTCTGTTTTTTTTCAAATTAATAGCTAAACCTAAGTTTGAAATTAGATTATTCTAGTAAGATTATACATATATCGCATTAGCAAAAATAATTGAAGTATGAAGACTGTAACATAACTACGATAGAATGTGAATACTATACATCATACTATGACTTTTTCGGATTAATCGATTTTTTTTATAAACGCAGCAAATATGAAAAAAAATTGAAAATAATTTTACGAAAAATAATTTTAGGAATCAGACAGGAACCATATGAGTAAAGCTATTGCTATTAGTTGTTTTGTCTAACGACAAAATAGTCCACATGTTCGATGTATTTTGAAATAGTGCGTTTGTAATCTTTCGCGATATCTCTTATCTTACATAATACGCGTACGTACTTATCCGTATGAATGTTATCGCGATCATCGCTGGGAGATGAGAATACGCGTTAAGTAAATGCTTTTACTCAGCATTACATGGCACATACAGTCATTGTGGCTCAATAATACTAGCTCAATTTGAGCGGATATTATGTTTAAAAGCAGGTTCACGTACGTCAACTCCTGGTAAAGAAATATTAAAATCAAGAGAAATATCAAATATATATTTCTTCGTCAGCAGATTTTGTTTGTTTTGTGTGAGAGATTGAAAATTTCCATCAAATATTTCTAATTTCTTAAAAAAAAAAAAAGAATTTTTTGTTTCGAAAAAAAAATACATAATTAGCAATTAACAATTAAATATTTTTTCTTAAAAATAACTATGTGTTTTCTTTACACCAATTGATTTCTCTCATTATTTTGTACATAAAAGTATTAAGGTAAGATAATCGAAAAATAAATATTTTACAAGATATTTTACGGTTTATGTAAAATTAAGAAATGATTTCAAGTCTCATAACTCGGAAAGTACTTAATGAAAACTAACTTAATTATAATGTTTTGGAAAGCTCTCGACCTCCGCTAAATAAGAATATGTAATAAAAAATAGGGGTTGCCATTTAAGATTTTTATGATAACCTTCATCTCTTTTCAATGTCATTCTAAGTTCAAATAAATACCATCAGCTAATAGATTTTTTAAGCCATTTTTTCTGTCTAAACATTTAAAAAAAAAATAATATTTTCTATAACGAGATATTTAGCCATTCCGGAATTTTTGCTCTACTCTGTATGTATACATATATGTATGTATACATATATATTTATATTTATATAATTAAATATAAATACAACGATTAAATATATAGTCTTATATTTTATATTTTTAGAGAAAGATGATAGCATATTTATTTATTTAAAATCATGACAGAAAATTATCGAAACACGTTTTAAAGGTCGAAATAAGTGTTTTTTTAGCAGTATGATTTTGACAGTTTTATGATAATTTTTTAATAGTATTTATTTAGTAATATGGTTAGTCATGATTTTTTGTCCCAATTAATTTAATTATTTGTATTATAGTTTATTTTTATAATTTTTCATTAAAAAGGAAGAAAATTAAAAATTAAATTTTTTAGAAATATTAAATCTAACAACTGGCAAAGAAAATCAATATAGCAAGTAAAAGTGAAAAAAATTGAAAAAAATATAATGTCTGTTTTATTCAAAGAATCTTAAATCTTACACATTTTTTACAGGTGTGTGTAATTATGTAGTTAAAGGATATTAAAAAATAGTAGTTAAGAATATTAAAATTTTATTAGAAAGTAGGAAGATGTTAAAATAGCTAGATTTTTATATTATTATAGAGATTTCACTAAAAAAAATCGAACATCTCTTATAATGGAAATCTCTTAAATTTATCTTAAAAAATAAAAATTGTTGTATCACTTGAGTCTTTCTCTCTCTCTCTCTCTCTATGTTCAATACATAAGTTCTATTAGAATGATCATAATACAATAACTCACCATCGGCATGATGATACAGATGCATTTATGATTTTGCAAAAAATTACGATGACAGTAACGTATTCACAAATATATTACATGATGTAAGTAAATTAGGAAATTATAAATTAGGAAATATAGTATAATAAAAGTGTCTCCACATACAGGCGCGCAGATCTATTTAAAAAAAATCTATCATACTATTAATGGAAGCTTTAAGAATATGGAAAATATTAATAATTTTAATTATACAATCTTACTATATATTATTTATAATTATATAATAATATTTAAATTAATATTTTGCTGAAGTGTTTAATTTTGAGTATGTTTTGAACTTTCAATGAGAAAGATTATAAAAAAATTTTAATTATAATACGTACACAAATAATTATAAAAAAATTTAAACTATAATACGTATACAAATAATGAAATAATTGATTAAATAAAAAATAATTAAATAATTGAGACAATATTGTTATTATATTCATATTACTATTAAAAATACTCATTTTTGGGATGATTTATAACTATTTCTTAGAACTTTGTACAAATAACAATGTTATTAAACAACAATATTATTTAGAATTTTAAAAAGTATAAAATTATGTGCATAATTTACATTATACTTTTTTGACAGAAAAATTGGCTATTTTGCCGATTGTCTTTTTTTTAAGAAAATTCAATACTAATACGCAAAAGCATGTATTCCATATTTATATGAAAAAAATGAAGAAAGAAATTAAAATTTAAAGCTTTTTACAATTAAGAAAAATGCAACGTGCTTATTTAATTCGCGTATCTCGCCCACAATCATACGCATATTCCAGAAAAATTATGAATGCACTAGAACTTTCGAATCTAACAGCTCGTAAACATGGCTTTATGTGTGCTTCCATCTTCTTCCGGTGTATTTATTTTAGCGGTCTCATGGCGGTATCTTCGCGTCATATCTTGCTCTTTTCCTTTTGCGTCACATCATCTCCTTTCCTTCTCCCCCGCACCGGACTGTCTCTCAACCGGCAGCGGCAGCGGTTTCCAACACAAAAAGCCACGATGATTGGTATAAGGTCACGCATCGGTGTCGTAAAATGGCTTACGATGGATTGACGGCGACAGAAGCAGGGGAAGGGACATTTGTAGCGTGGCATTCGAAAATAAGGATAATGACAGGAGGAGAGGCGCCGGGGCGGGAATCGGGAATGCCATTACAGCTGCGAGCCATTGTCGCCGCCGATATATATGTATATGTATATGTGCGTGCACGCATACTAATTGTATATATACGTATAATATATATAAAATTATGTGTGTGTGCGCACACGTACGCATGTGTGTATATGTATGCGTGTCTCATTCATATATAACCACTGAAACGACGCATCCGTATTTCGACACGAGTACGCCGAGGCAGGCAGGCAGGCAGGCAGGCAGGCAGCCAGCCAGCCGACCGACGAGCTAGCAGCCAACCATCCAGTCGACCGGGTCATTATGACTGCCAGGCTAACGCCAACGGGTTATGCATCATTAATAGTCCTCGTGCCACTACCGGCCGCGGCTCCCACGATTGCGCGGTTGTATATATTATGCTGCGGCCCTGCCAGGTCATTCCGCGACGCGCATTTTCATAATCTTCCACCGGGTGTCCGCGAAGCACGTGTCTTACTTATACATACATACTTTTATAACCTAATCTTGGAGTATATAGCACAAATATCAATTGAATAATGTTAGATCTCGATTATACAGTCCTTTGAAATTTCAAATTCATGTTTATACATACGTAAATTAAATTAAAATATACGTTTTGGAAAATACGCGAATTATATAATACATATTCCATATTATTCGCGCTACTTATTTAAACAAGCACATGGGTGCGTTTATCCGGGAATATCCGGCGGCATCAATACGTCGTTACGTCTGATATTTATTGCGAGTTATTATGCGCCCGCGGATTCTCACACGCGATTGGTTGCTCATAGCGTAAGACGCGCTCGCGCGATAGACGCGATGTGTCGGCTGCGATATCTCCTCTGTAGACGTAAAGCCATCGCGGTGCGTCGAAGGAAACCTGAATCCTAGCTGGATATTTACGGCCCATGTGATTGCGTTCATCAGGCACGAACGATCCGCTTGTGCGAAGCGGATGCCCGATTTAATTGTAAATAACGATAGTCTCTTCATAGTGTGGCATAGAATCTATCTAGGAATCGAAACGAGAAAAGCACAATGTTGTCATCTTATTCACTGATATCAATTTTCATTTATTTATACTCTTACTCAGATGGTTTCACCTTATGTTGAAGATCTATATATGTATATACAGGGTGATTCAAAACAACCTGATGTCTTTGAATCTGATGAAATATGATATTCTTGAACGAAT